AAAAAAAAAAAATCAAGTTTACTTCAATACATTTTCAAATATTTACTGAAAGTAATGTAAAAGTACTGTATGTGCACATACGGTAGCAACATTCCTTGGGTGTCGGGCAGATGGGAGGGGGAGGAGAGGATGGGGATATCCACACCTAATGGGTGTGGTGCACACCGTCTGGGGGATAGTCACACTTGTGACTTGGGTGGGGCAAAGGCAATATATGTAACTCATCATTTGTACCCCTGTAATATGCTGAAATGAAAAAAAAAAGCTGTAATAGCAAGTGACGTGTAGGATCAGGTCCCAGCTCAGCCGTTTCCTGGCTGGGTGACACACCCTGTCTCAGCTGTTGCCGTTAATAACACTGTTGGCGTTACTAGAAGAGACAGTGGACAAAAGGTGCCTAGCACAGTGCCTGACACACACTAGCTACTGCTGTCAGGACAATCAACCACCCAGAGGCCTGATAAGATGCGGTCCCTTGTGCTCAGTCAGAAGGGGCAGCAGTAATGAGACAGGTTCAGTCTGGGAGACCAGTACATTGCCCCAGTGAGAATGTGACCGACCATTAGCTGCCACACCCGGGCCCTGGCATTAAGATCTGTAGGCCACCAACTTCCCCTTCACTGACTTCCTTTTCCCCAAACAACCTTCTGCCCTTGGGTCTTGCTTCCTCTGGAGTCTGAACTGCCCACAGGGAAGGAATGTGCTACAAAGTCACAGGTGAAGTCTCGCTGGCAAGCCACCTCCGGACATGGTAACTGCTAAAATGGGGTGCAGATCCCCCCACAGGTTTCACTACAGACGGTGCCAAGTATGCAGCCCTCACCCCCTGTAGGACCTGATCATCACCTCCTCTGTCCCGCGTCAGCCGCTTCAGGGCAAAGCAACCTAAGGCCCTGCCTGTGGCGCAGACCTACCAGCTGCCGGATGCGCTCGTAGACGAGGTGCTGCGGGAAGGAAGTCTCCACGGGCTCCACCACGAAGCGCAGTCTGCTGTCTGCGAGCTTCTCCAGCGCATGCAGGCAGGAGCGGAAGTGATCGTAGGCTTCGCATGTGACATCCAACTGTCTCAGTGTGAAGTTGAGTCTGCAAACCAACCAGCCGACACACAAACTGCTGTCATTCCTGGATACCCAACTTGCTTTCCTGTTGCCTCACTGATTTCACTTCCCATGGGTGGATTTTTGCTGAGTGCCTATCTTATGTTAGCTGTTTGCGTGCAATTCCTTCCTGAATCTGGGAGGTGGGGACATTACCACTTCCATTTCACAGATGTGGAAACTGAGCCTCAGAAGGCTGAAGTCATGTGCCCAAGATGACACCACTGGGAAGATGAAGGCAGTCCCTGCCTGTGAGAAGCTACAGATTGGTGCAAGAGGCAGACTCTGACCCATGCTTGAGGACAGGCCTCCACGCACTCCTGTTATGTTCCGCATGCAGCCGGCACAGAATCTGGCACCCAGAGCTGCCCCGTAACCACCTGTGAGATGAATGAACGAGAGGCGGCGGGCGGTGCAGAGGACTCAGAGCACAGAGGACAGAGGTAAAATTGCCAGGAAGCTGGGGGGTTGCAGAGGTTTCAGAGCGAGCGAGCAATGTCAGCAATGGTTCTCCCAACCCCGACGTTTGCCTTTCAATACCTGAATCTGCAAGACGATTTAACTTGAAATTCAAGCTCTTTGATGCTTTCTCTTTTATTTCCAAAATCTCTTATGAAAAATTTCAAGCATGCAAAAGGAGTGGGAACAGTATGATGAAGCCGCCACTGGCTTCCGCCCCTGTCCACCACCCCACTGAATTATTAAAAAGCCATTGCCCGGCACCATAGCATTTCCTCTGTAAATATGTCAGTGCGTATCTAAAAAAGATACTCTTTTCAACTAAAACAAATTTAACAATAATTCTTTAACATCAAATAATCGGAGTTCAACTTTTCCTGACTGTCCCGATTTTTTTCCTTTACAGTCTATAAAACCAGGATCCCAGTGAGGCCCATGTGTTGCCACTGGTCGACGTGTGCGGAAGAAGACCTCTGCATCACTGGCACAAACAATGCTGCAACAAACCCGCGAGTACGCAGCTCTGAGCGCGCCAGGAGCGCTCCCACAGGGTGAATTTCTGGATGTTGAATTGCTGGGTCGTGAAATACACTTGGTTTTACGGCTTTGGCTGCATATTCCAAACTGCCTTCAGGGAAGTTGTGGACTGTCGTAAGTATTAGGGGGAACGTGTGCGAAGTGCCTAGCACTGTAGCTGCCACAATGTGGACACTCAACAAAGGCAGCCATCTAACGGTTTTGGATGCTTGAGCGGAAACATCCAGGAGGGGCTGTCGGGTGAGCAGAAATGAGCACAAGCTCCGTGTGCAGCAGCAAGAGGGAAGAACCCGGCGGAGCGGCAGGGACAGATGGCCCCCGGAGAGAATGTTCAGAAAGAGAGGCTCTCGGTGGAGAGTGGTGGCCAAGCGTCGAGGCTCTAGGATGCAGCTGGCATCCACGTCCGTGACTACCGCTAACCGGCTGTGCCCTGGACACGCCCCCGACGTCCCTCAGCCTTCCTGCCCCTTCTGTAAGACTGGGACGGCAGCACCTGCCCACCAGCTTAGTACGCGGATTAAACGAGCTGATGTATGCAGGGACTAGCACAGGCCTGGCACAGGGTAGGTGCTCGATAAACGGTAGTGAGTAGTGAGGGCACACGGACAAGGACGCATTCGGAAGGTGAGAGTGTGGCTGATACCCCGGACGCCAGCACGGTCCCGGGGAGCAGAGCTCACCTCTTCTCCACCGACAGGATGGCCGTGCAGGCGTTCTTGAATCTGTGGGCGAGTCGGGAGAGAGTTCTGAACACAGCATCGGTCAAGTCGTCGTCGTAAAACACTGCAGGGAGAAAAGGCACGGGGAAAACGCGCGAGTATCAGAGAGCTGCTTCTCCCGGGGACCCCCGCGGACACTACGGAGGGAATCCTTATCAACTTTGAGCGGCGACAGGCCTCGGGATTAAACCTGCACGGAGATGGGGCAGAACCTCCGGGAAGGTGCTTCCGAAGTGCAGAGAACTCAGTGGAGGTGAGGGGACACTGCACGGGACCGCAGGTAATGACAAAGGACATGTACAATGAAGGAGCATTTTCTTACCTTCGGCTGCAAACAGTATGGTGGTGTGATCGTACAAGTCAGAGATTTCCTCTTCTGACCAACTGAAGGGGACCTCGGGATCTACGAAAGAAGAAAGGAAAGGACGTTCTGTGCTCATTTCTTTCTCTGCTGGCCACCAGCTCTCACTGAAGGAAGCTTTAGGCGAAGAAACAGGGTTGGGGGAAGCTTGGTGCAGTGGGTACCGCCAGGCAGACGTGCCTCCCAGCGCCCCAGCTGCAGGCTCGCCGCTGCCTGTGCACACGCACAGCGTAGGAGGAGCCCTTTCCGCCAGGTGCCTGCCCTGGCCAGTGAGGGGAGGGCAGATTTTGGCCTCGCCGCTGCCCCAGGAAAGTTGCTTCACTTCTCTTGGTTTCAGTTTTCACGTTTGTAGAAAGAGGCATAATAATACCTCCTTCAAGGACTGTTAAGAAGGTCAAAGGACTCATAGGATGCAAAGTGCACAGCAGGTAACAGGTACTCAGGGAATGACTCTCCTCACCCATCAGTCCGACATCTGACAGGGAAAAGAAAAGAAGCCCTCTGCCATGTTGGAGCAAGCACCCAGGTCTGAAGCAGTGTGCGTAAGAAATCTGGGAAATTCTCCCATCCACAGGACTTCCCGGCACCACTGCTTGCTGGGAAATGGTCTGTGCCCCTGAGTCTGACACCCTGGCCCTGCCGCGTATCAGCTGTGTGCCCCTGGGCAGGCACTTAACCTCTGTGTGTGCCGGTCTGAACTCATAACTCAGGGATTGTCATGCCCACTACACAGTGATACTGTGAGGTCTGTAACGAAATAAACGTGAGGGGCCCGGCACACAGCAGGTGCTCAGAGAAGGACAGCGATGCTCATCGGCCAACAGAGGGAACTTGCCATGAGCTGTGGGATTGTGGCAACAGCTGGGACTCTGCCACTCAATCAAGGCTGCAGAGCTGATGGCCTTGAGGAATGACAGAGGAACCACTGAATCAAACCGGACATCAAAGGGAAACACACACCTGTGCAAAAGTCATCCTTCAGCCAGTCCAGTTCCTTGACCTTTATTATACCACCTGTAAAAACAAACATAAACACAACCCCTAACTCTAAACATAAGTAGGAAAAAAGATACACCAAGATCCATTCATCTATCCTCCCTCTTATCTATCCATCCTTCCACCCACCCCTCCAGCCTCCCATCCATCCACCCTTCCTTCCATCCGTCCTCTACCCACCCTTCTTGTCCTCCCTCCCTCATTCCCGCCCATCCCCCACCTTCC